TTTCCTTTTTAAAAGCAGTGTGTAGGGACAAAGAATCTTGTAGTGATTTTCCAAAACATAGCTTAAATGTGGCACAAGGCCGAATGTAGGGGGCACCCAGTGAGGATCGATCTCATTATTCAGTCGTAATTGTTCTAGCGAGATAAGCTTGCTAACCATTACAACTCCTCGAGGTGCCCAACAAAGTCTTGTGACCTTAAATATGTAATAATGACCATAGAATTGATTAAAATGGGTGTTATATATATATATGTGTGTGTGTGAGTGTGTATATATATATATATATATATATATATATATATATCAGAGATAGAGCCAACATATTTGGTTGGATTGATGTGAGTTTGTGACCCTGGGTTTCACGCTTTTGCGATCGTCAGATATATATGATTATATTTCTGAGATGAGGTATTATGTACACTATTTACATTATTCGGACTATTGTCCTCATCTTTGTCGCCATATTTATCACGTTTCGGCCGTTGTACGCTCCGGCCTTCTTCAGGTGGTTGGAATGTTGAACTGAACCCTTTAATTTGATCACTGGGGTAGTCTGTTCTAGTTCCACGTGCCATGTTTGATGGATGTCAGTTATCAGTTATCTCCTGTTAATTCCCCTCTCCAAGTTCTCCACTGCCTTAACCAGGTATTGAATTCACACTCTTTGGGTCCTGTCACTGGATCTAACTAATGCCTTTATTCACTCGGGCATGTGCCCTTGATGACACATAGCACAGTGGGTAAAGGCACGTGGAACTAGAACATTCTACCCCAGTGAACGAAATAAAGGGTTCAGTTCGACATTCAAACCACCAGAAGAAGGCCGGAGCGTACAACGGCCGAAACGTTGTAATTAATATGGCGACAAAGATGAGGACTATAGTCCGAATAATGTAAATGGTGTATATATATATATATATATATAGGGTTCACAACGACGAAATTATCGAGGAAACTTACATTACATATGTCGGATTCAGGTTCTATTGCACAACATTTAAAGTAACCTCCCTGTCCGCATTGTCGATTTAGTGAAATATTAATTGAAAATACAATACACACGACCATGAAAATAAAAAACAAAAAACTTCAAATTCTTAAAGAAGAATACAAGAGAAAAATTCAACCAACACATTGATAGCCTTCATTTTTGTTATTAACACCGCGAGTTTCATGCACATTTGCAAAAAAATTCACAACTATCATTTATATTAAAAAATTTTGTCTTAACAATTCATCTCTGAAGATGATCTTGGATAAGATTGAACGTACTTTAGAAAATAAGAGAAATGAAAATAACTACAGCACTTTCCTTAAGGTGTTTAACAATAAAATTCAGAAATCGGAAAAGGTGCAGTCACTGAAAACGTCAATATCATAGAATCCATGTTGTCCATGTCCTACACATCCCAGAAACCACTGCACTGACGATGAAAAGGCTCCTTAAACATGATTGAGCTGTAGCAATTATTTTGCATACAGTTGATTAGTAACTTTACAGTTTTTCTTCTAGTTCCAATCTTTATATTATACACGTTAAAATGAATGTGATGGGCAATGTATTTTTATTCACTTTTTCCTAGAGTTCTTACAATTTTTCGTTTATGAGGACTAATACTGTGCATAAACTAACACACAAGAAATCTCTTCGTATATATATATAAATTAATAAATAAGACAGCTTAATTAATACTTCAAAGAATAAATCAATATATATATATATATATATATATATAATGCTTCACTACTTGAAACAAATCAGTGTGTTGTTTTTCTGACAACTACATCTAATTAGATATATCTGGCTCCCGCGAAAAACTCTACGAAACAGCATCAACTTCATCTTGGCACTTGGAATGTACGAACTCTCCAGGACAACAACTCAGCAACAGAAAGAAAAACAACTTCTCGCTAAAGAAGTACAACATTGATATGGCTGCCCTGAGGAGTAAGCATCAGTCGACTGCATGAAACAAGAACACAAAATAAGACATCTAACAGTGTTCCTGCTGCACTTGGATACAATACATTCTCCTGTACTGTTTGTAGTCTTTTGTGCAATTCTCGAGCCGGTCTCAAAAGTCATGCCCGTCAAAGGCATGCAGATAATTAATTCGTGGTCGTCGAACCTCATACGTCGAACTCGACGGGTGAGTCCATCATATATAATGCTACAAGCGAGTCCTATTAACAAAATGTAGAATTTTACATTTTAAATATTAAAGGGTAAAACTAACTCACAAAGAGGGCTCTATATTAATCTTCATTAAACAGAACAAAATCTTTCTTACAATTGGAATTAAGATACCATTAGTTACTGATCATTTTCACCTACGAATTTTAATTCTAAAATTTGCAGTATTTTTCAAACGGTTTATGGTATCAGTTTGTAGAAGGGGACTGATATATTTATATATATTTAGCGGTAAAGTAATCTTGGTGTTTGTTTTACCGTGGTCGTTAAAATAGCCTATTTGAAAACACATATTCGTCACTGGGAGACGTGCTTAATATTAATTTTTTTTTTCGCACCCTACAGAGGAATCCTTTTAATAACAGTTTTTAGCATTTTAATACAGTTTTTTCAGTAATGTTCACAATGTACAAATTCCAATAGCCAACCGAAGTCGAGGGATACAACGTAATAGGTAGAGTTTATTGGGATATGTGGGGAAGATAAGGATTAACGCTAAACATGAACAGGTTGTGGATATGGGAGTTGGTTCCACAAAGCAGCAGTTTGTAGGAAGAATTTGCTCGTGTGGAACTTTAATCTCACCAACGGAATAGGGAGGGAATCAGTATAGTTCAGTATAATGTGCGTGGCAGGTTTTATGGTCCAGGTTAGGACCAAGGAAGAACAACACGAACACAAGAGTAGAAATAACGAAGGTATATTACACGAAATAATAATACAAGATGTCGAAGGTGTTAGTATGACTGTCAGTCTGGTTTGGAGTGAACTACTATCGGCTAGACTCGATTCGATATTTACTTGCCTACAAAGGAAAGATGTGGCACAAGGCAGAGTTTTACGTGGATTTTCCGAGCCCGTAGGCTCGGCCAAAAAATGCCCGTAGAAACTGAATCGGGTTGGCCAACCTTACCGAACGAGGCTCTACCCTTCGGCGGAGACTCCTCCGGGTTCCTCTCTGCTCAGAAGCAGAGAGTTCGACTGTCAAGCCGAGATGCTCGGCTCGATTCTGTATCTAGCCACCCCACTACGAGGGTTGCATGTGGCACAAGGCCGAGTTTAATGTGGGATTCCCTAAGCCCGTAGGCTCGGCCCAAAAATGACCGTCTAACCCGTATAAACGAGATCGGGTTGGTCAACCTCCCCGAACGAGACTCTGCCCTTCGGCGGAGCCTCGTCCGGGTTCCTCTCTGCTCAGAGGCAGAGAGTTCGACCGTCAATCCGAGAAGCTCGGCTTGATTCGGTATCTAGCCACCCCCCACGAGGGTTGCATGTGGCACAATGCCGAGTTTATCGTGGGTTTTCCGAGCCCGTAGGCTCGGCCAAAAAATGCCCGTATAACCCGTATAAACGAGATCGGGTTGGTCATTTCTCCCCGAACGAGATTCTGCCCTTCGGCGGGACCTCGTCCGGGTTCCTTTCTGCTCAGAAGCAGAGAGTTCGACCGTCAAGTCGAGAAGCTCGGCTTGATTCAGTATCTAGCCTCCCCCACGAGGGTTGCATGCGACACAAGGTCATTTTATCGTGGGTTTCCTGAGCCCGTAGGCTCAGCCAAAAAATATGCCCGTATGACTCGTAAAAACGAGATCAGGGTGGGTCATTCACCCCGAACGAGATTCTGCCCTTCGGCGGAACCTCGTCCGGGTTCCTTTCTGCTCAAGAGCAGAGAGTTCGACCGTCAAGTCGAAAAGATCGGCTTGATTCAGTATCTAGCCACCCCCACGAGGGTTGCATGCGACACAAGGTCATTTTTATCGTGGGTTTCCTGAGCCCGTAGGCTCAGCCAAAAATATGCCCGTATAACTCGTAAAAACGAGATAGGGTAGGTCATTCACCCCGAACGAGATTCTGCCCTTCGGTGGAACCTCGTCCGGGTTCCTTTCTGCTTAAAAGCAGAGAGTTCGACCGTCAAGTCGAAAAGATCGGCTTGATTCGACCCTCTCTCTTGAGAGGCGTAGTATACAAAGTGTTAGGAAGAGTTCATTCTGTAGTTATAGGTAAGGAAGGACCCATGACTGCAGGGAAGGTTAGAATTGGTAAAACTAAGGAATGTAGTTCGCCTGTACACTTTCCATAGAAGTAACGATAGAGCAGCGAAGGGGTTTGACATGTTTTGTCTGTGAGAAAGACATTGTAAAGTGGAAAATAATTCATCACCCACAAGGACGCGTAGTGGTTTTTGGTTTCTATCAAGACTAAAGTGAAGCCTGGGCAGCTCCTGCTCACACATAGCAGCAGTATTCCATCTTTGATCTGATCTGGCTCTTGTAAAGTTACGGGATAGCAGGAGGGGTTAGGTACTTACATGAGCGGTAAAGGGGACCGAGCATTTTCCCCGCATCTTTAACGATTTCAACTTGGGGTCTGGGTAGAGGTATCCATGAAAATTAGCATCATTCACTTTGGAATCGAATTCGAACTGAATACAGATGATTCCTTGCAACGGTTTTCTTTATATCAAAGTCTTCCCTTAAATGGATGCTTGTGCACTATGCAAAGAAAAGCGTGTTTAATTTAGACACAAATGGATGAATCGGGCGGTTTCATGTCACATATCAAATCGAAACATTTGTTTGCATTATTCTGGTCAGCCATGTCTGCCGTTGCAAAGATATTGCAGGGATCACACTACGTGGGGATAATGTTCTTTACCAGTCTTCGATTCTCCTTTTTCTTCTATTGCCACCCAGATTTAGATTTTTTTCAGTGTCTTTCTTTTTAAAAAACACTTCAACCGTATAATGATAAGAAATGGCGTTAAAAAGCATTTGTCGAAGAAATTACTTCTGTAATTATTAATGATGACAGTATAAAAAAAGTGTAAGTGTTGATGGAGGGAGTGAGGCATAAACAAGGAAAGCGAAAAACAAGAATAAGGATCCGAATAATGAAAAGAAAAGCGAAAAGGCAGATGAAAAAGGTGACAAAGAGAAAGGAAAAACAAAGTGTAAAAAAATCGAGCAGTAAAGACAAAAGTATCAAACTGATAATAAAAGGAACGGAAATAAATAATTAAAGAAAGAAAGAAAGAACAGGGAAGAAGAAGACTGAAAAAGCACGAGAGATAAAGAGGACAAAATGAAGATGCTAAGGAAAAGAAAGAAATATAATTCATGTAGAAGGTGATGAAAATCTTAAGTGAATGCGAGATGGAAGAGTGAAAAAGTTGAAGTTATTAACAAAAAGAAAGAAAGATAGAAAGAAAAGTGAAGAAGGAGATGAAAAAGTTTCTGAAAATATGAGAAACAAAAGAGAAAAAAGATTTTGATAATGAAGAAAGAAAAAGAGTAAAGAAAGGGGAAAAAAAAACGTTTAAGAATAAAATGCCTGAAAATGACAAAAAGCAGAACGAAACAAAAAAGAAAGAAAGAACAGTGAGATAAAGAGAAGAACCGGAAGTTGAGGACGGAAAGAAAATAGAAAGAAAGAAAGAAAGAAAATAGAAAGAAAGAAAGAAAGAAAATAGAAAGAAAGAAAGAAAGAAAATAGAAAGAAAGAAAGAAAGAAAATAGAAAGAAAGAAAGAAATTTTGAAGATAATTAAAAGTCTAAGAAAATCTGATTTATAAAAAGTACAATATCACAAAGAAAGAAAGAAAATAAAAAGAAAGAACATCGAAAGAAAGAAAATAATTGTGAATGTAATTAAATGTCTAAGAATAACTGATTTATAAAAAAGAAATAAAGAGAAACAAAGATACTGTAGGGGAAATGAAAACACGTTGTTAGTTGGGGGCAAATATTGCTCAGTCCAAATTGACAACAAATGGACAGACAGACAATGAGAAATAAATAAGTTAGTGCAGGAGAGGAAGAAGCTTAAGGAAACTGACACAGGAAAAATCCAACTGAAAAATGATCAGAAAGAAAGAAAGAACAGAACAGAAATTAGAAAAAAAAAAAACAGTAACGAGGAAGGGAATAATATTTAAAAGAGTTTAATTGAAAAGGGCGAAGAAAAAATTGAAGGTAAATCAATTTCCTTATTGATCTTCTCTCAGTACACAGACATCTGTATATTTCTTTTCGATATTAGCATTTATAAACTGACATTAATTGCCATTCGTTCATAGATTTTTCCGTGATAAATGAAAAATAAATGATTTGACGACACGAAGAGACAATAATATTCGATTCAGTGAATTTCTTCCCTTTCACAAGCCTTATTTCAGTCACTGACTGAAAGCCACATAATCCGCTGAATTAACAGATTCCCAAGTAAGACAATCAACTGACTTTGGACTTGAATATGAATTTCTCCGTAACTCCGCCGGGATAAACGTATTTGTGCATTCGTTGTGTGCAACATGAATTTAAATGGTTTGTCATCTGTTGTATATATATTTATATCTTCTAAACAAACGCATACAAGAGGTACGTTCAATCGAATGGGAAAATAGTACCATTACTAAGAGTTGTTGAAATTCAACAATATATCTAAACAATCTTGGTGTAGTCTATAGAGACTGCCACTAAAAATGGGAGAGCTCACTTCGATATCCGTCATCCAAATGGCTCAAACCTGTGTAATGTCAGCCTAACCTATCCATGACAGAAAAAAAAAAAAAAAACGAAAGAAATATTTCTGACCAACCAGAAAAGATTCGCACGTCTTCAAAGAACGGTTCGTTTCCGAGCTACTATATAAACCACCATCAAATCGACTCCGAAAAAGAAAGCTCATGCATGCTGCCTCGATCATTTACCAGTTTTACGTCTGTTTTGTCTGATGTCGACGAACGCAAGCAGTTACCGAGAGGTCAAGAGTTCGATGATAACAGCAGTATCCGTAGCAATTACATGATAAAAAAATCTACTCTTATGCAATTAAACACATTTTCCAAGCGTGATCTTTTTCTACAAAAATGATGTAATAGGAACTCATACATATGCAGTAGAATCCAGAGGCGAACTCCCTAAACATTTTTTATATAACCTGACGCGAATGTGTAATTAAATCCTCCTTTTCACTTTAAGAACACTTCATCTCCACTTTCGTGCGTTACCTCGTAGGTATCAGTATATCACGACCCACTGAAGTAATCAGTTATTCAGTGTTTAAGGTCATCGAGGTTAGTGGGTGGCGAAGGAGCATAAACGCGATCTTTTACGTATCCCCCAACAAAAAAAAAAAAATCATACACAGTGAGGTTTGGGGATCTCGCAGGCCAAACACAAAGAGCAAGGTTTTGGTAAGTGCCTGACCGAGGCGTAGTCTGTAAGGTTTCAAATGTAGATGTCTTCTTAGCACAGGCCACGTAGTGGATTGAGAGATCGCAAGCTCACGTTTAGCTTGATTTGAGGATTTCCGTGGACTCCACTCAAACACAGCAAAGATTCGCGTTTTCCTTTACGCACAAACCCACTCTTTGGAAACGGTTTAAACCACCGTTGAATGTTCTTAGGAGAGGCCAGATTAATGTCAAATTGCCTTCGAAAAGCCCGCTGCCTTGTGACAACTGTAAATGTTTTCGCGAACGCGAGAACGCCTTTTGCGGAGGTTTCGCCATCCCGGGGTAAACAAACAACTGAACGTTGAGGGAGATATGACGCGACTACAGCGCCTCTTTGGCAGCCATTCAAAACTTAGAAAATTTCATGAAATCAGTCCATTCTTTTTGAATAACCATACATACATATATATATATATATATATATATATATATATATATATATATATATATATATATATAAAATTAAAGGTGCAATTATAATTTATAAATTCATGAATCATTCATACAAAAAACAAATATAGAGGTTAATGATTTAAGTGCCGAGAATACATCGGGTTTGGGGTTGATGCATCTTATTTATATTGTTTGCGCCATTTAAATCATTAAGCTCTATATTTGTTTTTTGTATGAATGATATATATATATATATATATATATATATATATATATATATATATAAAATACAAACACACACTCATATATATATATATATATGTCTGTTTTTTTTGTGTGTGTGTAACAGTTGAGGGGCAGTTTGCAAAATAACGATGACCCACCCAGTGCCGTGCTAACTTGGTCCCGTTGACGCGTACTGATATCGCTATTGAAGAGGGTTCGTATATATTATACGCCACCTATATCTTCAAAACCGCTTTGTTCATTTATAGAAGTTCATTTTAAAATTTTAAAATTATTATTAAAGAAAAGACAGGGGAGAACAAAAATAAAAAAAATCCGCGGATGCGTTGCGCTTAGTAAGACGACAAATAAGTCGACTCTGAAATTACAGATTGAATCTGCGGACTGTCAAGGATTACTCAAGACCTTCCAAATTTTACTCAAAAAAATATTGTGCTTTGGGAACTCGTATAGTAATGATAATTTTGGTTGCAAGTATGTAACATTTATGAGTATAATATTTCCTTAGGTGTTTATAAATTGTACACTGTTTAATTATTAACGTTAACAACGGACTATCTGAAATTACAAAATTTTACTTAGATTAAACGAAAATTACGATATAATGCATATTACTTATAACACATTCCCTCTTGCTGTCAATTTTGACGACTCTTTTACACTGGTGTATATATTATATATATATATATAAAATTTATCTATTTTTCTTTTAGTTTTCACGAATCACTAAAGATTTTTGCTAGAAAATTAACTAGTTTTCTGAATTTTATCATCGGCAAATTTATTAGCTCTCCTGAGAAGTTTTCTCTCCCTGTCCATTTCTGATTTCTTTATTCATTTCATTCTTTGCCAGAATTTTCCGATGTCAGCTCTAAAGGAAACAAACCAATCTCCATTATTACTGATGCAATTAAAAAAAAAAAAAAAAAAGATTTATGTTAGAAGACTCACGTAAAACTCAATTGGATTTATCTAAGCTATTTTACGAACAATTCAAACACACCGGAAGAAACGGGAATAACGGAAGGAGACAGTTAATGATAATAGAGAAAAATATTCTACAGATAGCAATCGTACCTATAAAAATTTCAGAGAATTTTCTAAACCAAGAATACGCATTAATGATTAGGTTTATCATTCAAGAGAAAACAGTTTTATAATCATGGTTAGAGATTGGCCTTGAGTTAAAAGCCCGGCTCTAATAATTTTTTTTTTTATTTCGCAACTTGCGACATTTTGGAGATTACATTTAAATTAAGCATGTCTTAATTGAACACACTTCCGTTTTCATGCTTCCCACCTGTAATGAATAATCAGAGGTGAATAAACTTTGGTAAGTTTTATTCAACTTTAAAACAGCTAGATATTTAGCTGTCCCCCCCACGTGGGGTCGCATGTGGCACAAGGCCGAGTTTTACGTGGTCACCCGAGGCCGTAGGCCCGGCCAAAAATATAACCTTCGACTCGCCTAGGCGAGTTCGAGAGCTGTCATAACCTCCCCGAACGAAACCTTGCCCTTCGGCAAAGCTTCGTCCGGGTTCCTCCCTGCTAATGCAGAGAGTTCGACAGACGGCGGTTGCTGTAAGTTTAATACAGCTATAAAAAAAAGAATTACGCTAGTATATTTATAAGCTTATGTGGAGTCGTCCATTACACCAAACAAGGGGGAGCAGGTTGTGGGAATTACTTACAACATTCTCCCCCACCAACTAGTTATTCGTACAGATTAAAGTCTTTCCATCGACCTGGCATTTTGCGGGTCCTTTGGGAACATCTTTGGTGACTGGTGGCCGTCTACGTCAGACGACGAGTTGTAGTTATCATGATTATCGCATTTCTGCGTAGAGGGTCTAGCCTTAAAACGGCACCGTTCTTTCTTATGTTTAGGTTGCTGGGTGTCTGAAAAACACGTCTCAGTCGCCGACGTAGGGTGAGTCCGTTTTTGGGGTGTCGGTCTTTCTTCAGAATCAGAAGTAGAGAGTTCATAAGAAAAATCGGATTCATTCAGTAGAGTATCCGAACTAGATGTATGCGGGATTTGGTCGCCTCGCTGCACTGGGCTGGTTCTGAAAACTGGATTTTCGCGATTCTCCATCGCAGTAGCCTCTTCAGTTCTATTTCCAGGAGACTGTCTTCCTTCCGCAGTTTCAATCCGGGCGTATTGGGGGTTCGCCTCAATTAGTTTCACTTTGCTGACTAAGGGGTCATGTTTACTATGACGTACATGATGTTTCAGCAAAACGATTCCAGGTTGAGCAAGCCATGAGGGGAGGGAAGTGCCTGTTGAGCTTCGTCTTTGGAACAAAAAAAAAACCTCTCATGTGGAGTGGTGTTTGTAGATGTGCACAGTAGGGTCCTGATAGCGTTTAGAGCCTCGGGGATGACACTTTCCCCCATTTCGAGATCGGCATTTTCCGGTTTGCCAACGCCAACTGAACTGTCTTCCATATTATTCCATTATATCTTTCACAGAGCCTGTTCCCTTGAGGGTTTTAAGGGGAGGTTCGGCTTACCGCCACTCTTCGTTCATGCAAAAAATTCTTGAGGTCTTCCGATATAAAAACAGATCCCCGGTCTGTATGAATGTATGCAGGCACTCTGAAAATTGCGAAAAGAGAGCAGAGGCCTTGAATAACTGTAGTGGCTGTTACATCAGGGCATGGAATGACGAAGGGGAACCTTGAGTACTCGTCAATTACAGTAAGCATGTATTTATTGGGAGTTTTAGAAGGTAGTGGACCCTTGAAATCCAGATTAAGCCTTTCGAAAGGCTGAGTGGCCTTTACGAGTGTTGCTTGAGGGGGCTTATAGAATCTCGGCTTATTTTCTGCACATATTTGGCAAGAGTTGGTAACTCTGTTAACATCTTCAACGGAATATGGTAAATTCCTGCTCCGGACTACATGTGTCATTCTTGTGATGCCCGGGTGGCACAATTCTCGGTGTATGCTCTGAAGATCAGATGATCTTGTTGTTAGACTGCACACCCTTGAAAGTGCGTCAGCTGCAGCATTCTTCTTTCCAGGACGATAGGAGACGTCAGATGAATAACAGGAGAGTTCCATCCGCCATCTTGCAATTTTCTCATTTTTTATTTTAATTGAGGTTTTTGTGTTAACATGAATGATACTAATTTTTGGTCGGTGATAAGGTGGAATTGTCTGCCGATCAGATAATGCCTCCATTTTCGTAAAGCTTCAACTATGGAGTACGCTTCTTTTTCTATGGCAGTATGCCTTCGTTCAGACTTCGAGAGTGTCTGAGAGAAAAAAGCTACAGGTCGACCATGTTTATCTTAAGGAGGCAGCTATTGCCGAATCAGATGCATCGGTTTCAACTACTAGTGGAGCTGAATGATTAATGGCAGCAATGGCAGAATTAGCAATATCCCTTTTTAAATTTTGAAATGCTCTAATGGCTGAATCAGATAATGGAAAAGTTCTTACTTGAGTAAGTAAATGTATCTTTTCAGAAAAGGACTCAACCCATTGGGAATAATGGGAAAACATGCCAAGGGCTCGTCGTAATGCAGCTATATTTCCAGGAATTGGTAATTCCATTAGGGGTTTAAGTTGCTCAGGGTCCGGTCTCATGGCACAATTCCTGACTACGTACCCTAGTAGCTTGATGCTTTTCAAATTATATGAACACTTTTCCTCATTAAGTGTCAGGTCATATTTATTTACGGCGGCCATGAATCGTTTGAGGTTGTGGTCATGATCTTCATCGTTATAACGACAAATAGTAACATTGTCTATGTATGCCACAGTACCCTTCAATTTCTCATTAGAAATGATTTCATCTATTACCATTTGAAAACTTGCGACCCCATTTGTAACCCCAAGAGGGGTCCTACGGAATTGGTATGAACGCCCACAAGCTACGAATGCTGTATAAGGTTTTTCCTCCGGCTTGATGGGTATCTGATGGTAGGCACTCCTAAGGTCCAACGTACTGAAAATACGATACTGGGTGATATCGGAAACCATTTCGTCAATACGGGGCAGCGGATACGCATCGAGTTGCGTATATCTGTTGATGGTCTGGGAATAATCAACAAGCATCCTCTTTTTATGGTTCTCATTAGTCGTTATTAGGACCTGGGCTCTCCATGGCGATTTGCTGGGCTCTCCAATATTTTCCTTAAGAAGTCTCTTCACTTCCATTGCAATAAATTCCTCGCCTTTGAGCGAATAGCGTCTGTATTTTACGGCTTTATGTTTACAGTCAGAGGTTAGATTTGAGAAGAGAGATGGATATTGGACTTTTGCAGTTGCTAATCCACATATTTGCATCTCTGGTTTGGTACCACCGAACGGAATTGTAAGGTGAGAATGTCGGTTAAGGAAATTGTGCCCTAGAACTATTTCACAGCAGAGGTTCCTCATTACCAGCAACTTGACTCTAGAATAGAAATTTTCTTTTAGCTCGCGGTTAACCGTGCAGAAACTGATTACACGGCAGGATAAGGACGAAGTGGCCATTGATATTTGAGTAGAACAGGGAAAAAATTTCCATTTGTTTGTTTCCACGATATGTGCATCGATAAAATTTTCAGAACTCCCCGTATCAATAAGAGCATGGAGATATAGTCCGATCACTCTGGCCGGCACAATTGTTTTAGAGAGGCATTTAGGAGAGGCAGTCGATACGGTAGATAGAGATAGGGTGGCGGCTAAACGGGTTTTCTGTAAAGGGGCCGACCGACAAACCTTTAAAAAATGTCCCTGCTTGCCCCATCCATGACATCTGTTTCGAGCCGGGCAGGATGAACGAGCGTGTTTACGAAAGCCGCAGAAGGAGCACTTAATCTCAGCTGAAGCGATAGTGACAGGTTGTTCAATAGTATTCGAAGAATCCTTATCCTGGGGGTCACAATGTTGTGAATTTGAGCTGGGAATTTGTTGGGAATGAGAATGGGCAGGAATAGTAGCCCCTGAAAAATCAGGTTGCGAATAGAGATCTGATTGTTTCTGGGCCATGTCCAACGTAAGGGCTAGTTCGTAGGCGGTAGCCAGATCCAAGTCCTTGTTTTCGAGCATCCGTTGTCTGATTTGGTTATACCGTACTCCACTGATGAAGGCATCTCTTATTAAGATATCCCTAGCTTGGCTTGCTGTCAGGGCAGTAAAATCACAGTCGCGACTTAATATTTTCAGGTTTTGAAGATACAGCTCTAGACTTTCTTCAGTCTCTTGACGCCGAGTAGCAAGCAAGTATCGTGCAAAAATGGAGTTTTTCTTCTTAATGAACATACCATCCAGAGAGCTTATAGCAGTATCGTAATTTTGATACTCAGTCAAACACTTATAAATGAGAGTAGAAACATGGTGTAATCAGAGGGTTAATTTCTGTGAGCCAGTCAATGCCGACGTAGAAGAAGACTGCAGCCCCGAAATAAATCCCTCGAACATAGCCCTCCAATGTTGCCATTTGTCACTAGAGTCAGGGTCTGAAGTATCGAGTTCCAGTCGGTCAGGCTTGAGGTATCGTTCCATTATTTAAAGTTGAATAAATTGTAATGAATAATCAGAGGTGAATAAACTTTGGTAAGCTTTATTCAACTTTAATATAGCTATAAAAAAAGAATTACGCTAGTATATTTATAAGCTTATGTGGAGTCGTCCATTACACCAAACAAGGGGGAGCAGGTTGTGGGGATTACTTACAACACCACCTATCTACGATTTAAAAAAAAAAAATTAAATACGGCATCAGTCACCATCTGTTGAATATTCTGCTAATTTAGGCCATCTCGGCGTGGTGTAATGGTTAGCAAGCTTGTCTCGCTAGATCAGTTACGACTCAAAAGTGAGTTCGATCCTCACTAGGTGTCCCTTACTTTAGGCCTTGTGCCACATCTAAGCTACCCTCACAAAATAACTATTCCGCTAATTTCCGACGGAGACGGGTCAAGCTCTATCTTCAAAAACAGGGAAGACGCATAGAATGCCTAGCTAACAATTGGTGAATCCCACTTGAAAGGAACAAGACGTCGAGGCAGCGGCTCGCTATCACAAAAGACGAGGTCCATGAATGCTTCCTTCAATGGAAACAACGCTGGATAAAGTATGCGGCTCCAGTAGGGAGACTGCCTCGAATGTCTAATTGATAACTTCCTTAGTTTTTCACTAGCTCCGATACTTTTTGAACAGACCTTGTATGACCTCATAAATACAAGGTGAACACCCGTGCCTCACAGGATATCAGTGGCTAACCCTGACAAATAAACACAGTTGATCCAGCTGTGTCTAGAATGTGTGCGCGTGGGAAAAACCATATGACTGGTAAATGTTTAAAACCTCACGCTAGAAATAACAGAGATGGCTGACCACTTGGGAATGCCAGGTGCTCTAAGCGTGGATATGCGGGTGGTGTAATCGATAATGGTATGGAACTGTTAATCGGTGAGCCGTGGTTCGAAATCAATTGGGTTCGTTATATTCACTTATGTGCAACTACGCTTGAGAAAGGTATGAATCCATTTCTTCCCCTCCAGCTATAGGTTAATTAGTAAGATTTGTATCGTTAAATGCTTATTTAAATTCTTATCATCTAAAAAAAGTTATTCTGGTTTAAATAACCAGTAAATGATTGATAAGCTATAGAAAAACGAATCAATCAATCAAAAACAGTATTTCAATGAACAAATGTCAGAATACTGATTTTTTGGCAAGTGGGTTGTATCTAGAGCAGGCATGGACAACCTTTTTCGAGAAGCGAGTACCATGAAACGTGGTTCCTCATCACGTGGGCGGCACTGCTAAAAAATTAACGGTAAATTTTCGTTGAAGATATCTCATCCATTTTCACTATAGAAGACAATACGAGTATGAATATGCCCTAGCACGTGTGATTACAGTCGCTGAATTATCATAAGTCGTATTGTATCAGACGGTGGTTTCAAATAAAAAAAAAATGAACATTAAATCAATCATTCTCTTTCGTTAACGTATTGTCCAGAGTAGAGATGCCAATCTAAGGTTTTTGAATGTTTGGATTGTAGCAGATTGACTCTGAGGCACGTTCTTGAATGTTTGGATTCTTGTAGATTGAATCTGAGGCACGTTGAAAATTACACAGATTAACGATAGC